GTTTTTGTGTATGGAGTGAGGTGTGGGTCTTGCTTGAGTCTTTTGCAGATATTTTTCCAATTTTGCCAACACCATTTGTTAAAAAGGCTGTCGTTCCCCCGATACATCCTTTTCAATCTATAGGTGAAACAGATAATTTGGGAGACTGGACTTTATGAGGAGGACTGTGATGCCGAGAATGGAGGAAGACTCATTAGCAACTTGCATTATGCAGTTGACTACAGTCTTGCCTCCTGAAACTGGGGAGGACCTGAGGTGTTTGCTCAGAAGGTCAAGGGCTGCAGTCTTCAATATGGATAGAAGCTCAACATCAAGAAAACAAAGATTCTCACCAGTGGGTCAACTGGCAGCATCATGAGAGATGAGAAGAGACAGAGTGTTAGAAATTTAGCTTCGTTGGGCCACAATCTATGCTCCAGGCGCCAGCAGTCAGGAAATCAAAAGACGAATTGCATTGAGAAAATCTGCTGTCAGGGACCTTTCCAGATGACTGAGGAGCAACTATGTTAGTCTAGAGATTAATGTGTGCCTGATTCAGACCATGTTCTTTGCGATTACTTGCTATGCATCAGAGAGCTGGACATGACCATAGATGACAGTAGAGGGATCGATGTCTTTGAGTTTTGGTGCTGAAGAATAGTGCTGAGCATTCTGTGGACTGCCAAGAGAACAGTCTGTCATGGAGAGGGTGAACGCAGGCCACACTTTGGAGACAAGGATTTTGAAGCTCCATCTCATCTACATTGGACATGTGTCTAGGAGGGACCAGTTTTGGAGAAGGAGCTCATGCTTGGAAGGGTGCATTTATAGCACAGGAGAGGAAGAGCCTGGATGAGATGGTATGACTCAAGAACTGGGGTAACGGGGATAAGTGTGTCAGAGACAAGGAGATTGGCTCAAGACAGGGCAGGCTCAGGGCTACTGTACATAGGGGAACTCTGAATCACAGGCAGAGTAGATGGCACATAATACACCACCACCACACTATGCTCATAATCTCCTAAATGTGCATAGAAGGCTGAAGTATTGAAAAGTTGTGAGGCTACCAAGTGATCTAGGGTGAACCATGAACTTGTGGTTTTTAAAGGAAGTGGAGGGGGAGAGGAATGGGCAGGTAACTATTTCTTACACCTTTCCCCCTTATGCTTCTTTTCCTAAAGAGTGCATTGTGGAAAACCTTGATGTTGAAGACAAGACATGTAAGCAACCACACTTGATGTAGTTAATAGAAGAAGGAGCAGGGAGCAGTCAAGTCATGCTTTGCATGAAGCTGACTGAGAAAGGGGATATGAACTAAGTGCAAAATTGAGAAGAATGAATAGATCTGTTTGGTTCTTTTTTCTATTCTGATGAGAGAATACAAGGAGAGAGCGAGATATTGAAACATCTGTTTCTAACAATTGTATCTTTTGTTTAAAAGAGGATTTTCTCCATAAGGCCACAAGTTTCTTGCAAATTTGGAAAGAATCAAAACTTTTGAATTTGCTGGGTTTATTTGTATTTTGGACACAAGAGAAACTGTTTGGATTTTGATGTTGCCCTATGGGGCTGTGAATATAATAAGGTGTGTCCCTTTCATAGGCACCTATTTCAGCCTGGAGATAAATTTGTAGTTGGCTTCTAGTGGAGGTTGGACAGTAGTCCTTACAATGTTGCAGTTCTCGGTTATAACTGCTTCAAATCTCCACTCTGCTGTCTCTTCCTTTTAAGAAGACACTTCAGGGGCTGGTAGATGTCCTTCGTCTTGATTCCTTTTTGTGGAAAAGTGAGAGGGCAAGCCTAATATTGAGCATGTTTTTGAGCTTCCATTTCAAATATAAACACTAAATCCTTTCTTTAGGTGTCGACAACGAGTCGTTGAGGCCTCAGGTGGCCTCACTGGAGCTGCTGCCCTCTCTCCAGCCACCACCGGGGGCTACACCATCAGCACCCGAGCCGCCACTGGGGCCCCCAGTTAGGCCTCTAGTTGCACCCCTGCCGACAGAGGGGCCTGCTTCACCCCCACCATGTACACCCCAGCAGCCTCTTGCAGCGCAGCCATCACCCTCGGCTGCATCAGGGGGATCGTCACCATCTCCACATTCGCCTCAGGGTCGGACAAGAAAGTTGAGGCAGCGGGGGAGAGTCTATCCTCAGAGCACACCACGTACTGATAGGCGTAGAGGCCTATCACCCGTACCAATCCGGTGGCCTGGCATCCAAAGGGGACTCCCGGCTACTGCCAACATAAAGAGGACGAAAAACCCTGACTCAGCACCAACCATAAGCCGCCACTCCACCCAGGAGAGGCACCCGAAGGCCTCAGGGGTCTCCCCAGGGAGGCTACCACCCCTGGCACAAGGACCAAAGGGAAGGCTGCCCATGGGGTTCCCAGGACTGGCCAACAACACCTTTGCCTCTGGGACCCTGCTCTTTAAGAAGCCATCCATCCCTCCCCCACCTCCTCCAACCCCCATACCTTCCCTGACACGAAAGGGTGCAAAAAAAACATTGTGGAGTCTCTCACAGCAAAGGGACGCCTCCTCTTCAGGAACGGAGGCACGAAGGAAGGCGCCCTTCCTTTTATAAGGACATACTTCATTTTGCCGCCGCCATATCGAGGCTCGTTCAGAGAATTACATCTAGCCAGCCCCCACAGCCTCCACCAACAATATACACCAGCCATCAAGCTCACCAGCGGAAACTGCTTGAAACCAAGGGCCATGGGGACAAAAAGACCCCCAAAACCAAAAAATCCCACTGCCTCCACACAACAGAAGGCTCAGACAGCAATGGGAGCCCACAAACGGCACCCCAAGTAGCTCAGGTGCTACAAGCAAGCCCTCAGAGGGTTGGCTGCCCAGGAAAGGTGGCAAGGTCCATCAGCACAGTACCCCCGCCCCCTACACCACCAGCTCCCCAACACAAACCTGCTTCCCCCTCCGGCCCCGAATCCACACCTCACCTGGCCCAAGTGAAACTGCTGTCAATAATAAAGGAAGTCATCATACAAACCTTGTGTTATTATTTTGATTGAAATGCCAGGATTATGGCTACCTGTTAATTTCATGCAACCGTGAGAACCAACTCCCTAAGTTCATCTTTTGAAAGATTTGTTCCATAAAGGATTGCATAGAGTGAATACATATTTTAGGATTCATTTTTTAGTAACTCTTCTGGAGCTTCCCTGACTGAATGAATTATAGCAATTTCAAGTAGTATTCAAACCTCATCCTTTGTGAGAAACTGGACTATAGGCGCTTCTCAATCATGCAGTTTTTACAGCATAACTTGGATCAGAGGTTCACAACTGACTTATTAGAATTAAAGACGACTGTTACGTGGTTGGTACAGTAAGTGAAATCTGGTATGTCCAGTACATCTTTATTGTCCCCTCCAATATGGCTCATATATTGGGGCGGGCTCACAAGCACACGGGCAGTAGTTAGAAGACACAAAGCAGCTTTCAAGAAGTGAGCGAGGCAAGAGGAGGAGGAAAGCCATGTCAAGTATCATGTTATGGAAGCAGTAACTGCCTTTTTAGAGTAATAGGATTAAGTGACTGCTTTGTAGCCAAACATACAGAGTTTGAGGAGTGGATATGCATTCTTAAATAAAGATGTCCCTGTTGTCATTGTAGTTGTGTACCATGGAGAAGGAACAGATTTATACCTGACTCTCAGGAGCACGGGAGGAGAACATCTGTCTTTCTCCCATGGAGCAGCTGGTGGATTTGAACTGCTTGCCATCATGATTGCAGTGCTTCTTGCTATTAGGCCACCAGATAGTCTAAATCCTCCATGACCAGAGGGGCCCAAATTGTCATCTCTAACCTAACTCTGGTCCTGAAAGAAATTCAGTGTATTCTCTGCTTCTTCCTTCCTTCCTGAGAGAGGGCTATATATAGTGGGGCTATAATGCCTCTCCCCATCCCTTCCCTCCCCTCCCCTCCCCTCCCTCCCTTCCTGTCATCTTTTTTGCACACCCTATTTGCCAAAGTCAATGACTAGGAAAGGCATTTAGACATTCAACCCACTATACCACATTCAGGAGGACGGGCAGTCTCCTTCCTTGAGATTAATTGCTTGTGAGCACCTCAGCCACTAATGGCATCCGCACCAGCTGCTACCTGCACCCCAGCCGCCAGCTGCACCCCAGCTGCTGCCAGAGTCTGCACCCAACTGCTACCCGCACCCCAACCCAATGGCTACAGGATTCCACTACCTGAGACTGCCCCTAGTTGTCACTTGCACCGCAGTTGCTCCCTGGGCTCCACCACAAACACCATCTCCAAATTTAATTTTGTGCACAAGTATGCCTCTTCCACCAGCACCACAATCAAGGTCTCTAGTACAATCGAGGTATGTGCAGTGTCTGCTGAGAAAGTGCAGGGAACCTGCATAGTGAGCCCTCAATCCAATGCTATAGATTGAGACCCACAAGTGGTCATCAACCCCCCTCCCAATCTAAAGGTCCTTTATCCACAGAAGGCTGCAGATTTGCTATGGCATCTACCACCTGCCCCCAGCCACCACCCCTACTTCAGCCATTAGTGGGGTCTACATTCCAGAAACCACCCGCACCCCAGCCACCATCTGCACCCCAGCTGCTATGGGCATCTGCACCCAGACATCAGCAGCACATCAGCCACTACCCGAGTCAACACCCAGCCACTACCTGCACCCCAGCTGCCAACTACACCCCAGCGACTACTAGAGTCTGCACCTAGCCGCCATCTGTACCGGAGCTGCTACCGGAGTCCTCACCCAGTTGACACTTGTACCTTAGCTGCTACCGCAGTCCGTATCCAGTTGCCACCTGCCCCCCAGTCACTACCGAGTCTGCATTCAGCTGCCACCTCCACCCTAGTCACTGCCCTGGGCTCCACCACAAACACTGTCTCCAAATTTAAATTTGCACACACGTACACCTTCTCCACCAGCACCACAATCAGGGCCTCTAGTACAACCAAGGTCTGTGTAGGGTCCGCTGAGGAAGTGTAGGCAGCCTGGAAATTGCACCCTCAATTCAATGCTGTAGGATTGAGACTGACAACGGGTTACCCGCCCCCCAACTAGAGGTCCATTATCCACAGAAGACTGAAGATTTGCTGCGACATACACTACCTGCACCCCAACCACCACCTGTACCTCAGTCAACACTAGGGCTCACAGCTCAGGCACAATAGCACCCCCCCCAGCGTCCACCTTCACCCCAGCCACCAGCCATATTTCAGCCATCACTGGGACCTGCATCCCAGACACCACCTGCACCCCAACCGTCATCTGCACTCAAGATGCTACAGGAGTCTGCACCCAGCCGTCATCAGCACATCAGCCACTACTGGAGTCCTCACACAACTGCCACCTGCACTCCAGTCGCTACCAGAGTCCATCACTGGAGTCTGCACCCAGGCACCAGCTGCTCCCAGTCACTGCCCTGGGCTCCACAAACACCATCTCCAAATTTAATTTTGTGTGCCATGAGCACCACAAGCAAGGCCTCTAGTACAACCAAGGTCTGTGTAGGGTCCACTGAGAAAGTGAAGGAAGCGTGGAGAGAGTGTCCTCAATCCAAAGCTATAGGATTGAGACCAAGAAGGGGTTCCCAACCCCACAATGTAGAGGTCCATTATCCACAGAAGGCTGCAGATTTGCTGCAGCAGCAAAGTTTAAAAAACCTAGAAAACTGCCATCACCAACCCAGTTCACAGGGCCCACAAGCTGCCATTGCAGGCATGAAAGGGACACTAAGGTGTCAGGGACCTCTCCGGGGAAGTCATCCCCTGTACAGAGGCAAAAAGGATGGAGCCTACCGTATTTGACGGTTTATCTAATACCTAATATTTCAGGGCTTATTTAACATCACAGCCGCCTCAGCCCTGCTGTTGAGGAGGAAGGTCCACTCAGACCCCACTGCCTCCACCAAGTCAGTATCCACCATGCAGGAAGACAACCGCTGAGTAGTAGAGCCCCTGACATGAGAGGGGGAAAATATTTCCTAGAGCCCCTGTTACTTCGGGGAAGGCCCATGCTCTGGCACAGAGGCCAACAGGACAGTACCCTACTGTTTTTGAGGGTTTCTCCAATAAAGCGGCCACTATAGCAAGGCTCATCCAGAGAGGGCTGTCCAGGCAGCCCCCACGGCCTCCGTAAACCCCAGTCAGTACCAGAGTCTTTACCCAGCTGCCACCTGCATTCCAGTGGCTACCGGAGTCCGCTACCAGAGTCTGCACCACCCAGCTGCTACCTGCACCCCAGTCTCTGCCCTGGGCTCCACAAACACAATCTCCAAATTTAATTTTGTGCACAAGTACACCCCCTCCATCAGCACTACAATCAAGGCCTCTAGCACATCCAAGGTCTGTGCAGCATCCGCTAAGAAAATGCACGCAGATGGTGCATCCAATGCTATAGGATTGAGACACACAAGGGATCACTACCCTCCCTACTCCCCATCTCAAGGTCCATTATCCACAGAAGGCTGCAGATTTGTTGAGGCATCCACCACCTGCACCCCAAACATCACCTGTACCTCAGTCAACACTATGGCCCGCAGTTAAGGCACCAGCTGCCCCCAACCATCACCCATACTTTAGCCGTCATTGGGGACTGCATCCCAGAAATCACCTGGACCCGAGACACCACCCATACTTTAGCTGTCATTGGGGACTGCATCCCAGATATCTCCTGGACCCCAGCCACTACCCGTACTTTAGCCATCACTGGGGGACTGCATCCCAGAAATCACCTGGACCCCCACCCCCAGCTGCACCCCAGCTGCTATGGGAGTCTGCACCCAGCAGTCACCAGCATATCAGCCGCTACCAGAATCCCCAGCCAGCATGATCAGAGTCCAACACTGGAGTCTGCACCCAGGTACCAACTACACCCCAGCCAGCAGCTGCACTCCAGACATGACCTGTACCTCTGGCATCACTGCAGCTTCCAGACCAGGCACCCCTGTACCCCAGACACCA